GATCTTACTCAGTTCCGCAGGGCCTGCAAGACGGAGCTCTTCCGCCAAGATTTTGGCCGAGGCAGCGGGCATCCACACGTGGCCTCCCCCGAGGTTGCTGCCTCCTACCTACTGGCCACCCATCTGCCAGCAACCGGCCATATCCATCAGTATGAATGGGCTGGAATTTGCACCAGCAGCTATAACTACTGATTTTAAATGGTTATAATGTAATGCTTTATTGTATTATTTGAGATAATGTGACCCGCCCTGAGCCCGCTCACGGGAGGGGCGGGATACAAATACGAAAAATAAATAAATAAATAACTCCATCCTGACAGTGCAGAATAGATGCTGGAAAAAAGGCTGGTCAGGCCGCTGAGAACAGTGCCCCAAGAGCCAGAGAACAACCCAAGTACCTCGCTTGCACACATCAATCTCCAATTTTGGCTTTATTCCCTTCACTGTTTTTGCCCCAGAACTGAACCCGCACAAATGGTTATCATATAAATGAAGCTTATTATTTCTTGTTTGATCCTTGAATCCGATAGACATCTTCATTATGCTGTGTGGCAATTTTCTGCTTACCCTAAATGTATGGGACTGATAATTTCCAGTTTTGCTTCGGTCTCTGTCTTGACTCTAATTGGCCCTTCCTGGCAATGAAATCCCCTCTCTATATGTAATGGCTGAGGAAATTCGGTTTCACTGTATCTGAGGAAGTGTGCCTGCACACGAAAGCGTATACCTTGACTCAAAATTTGTTGGTCTTAAAGGTGCCCCCACTGGACTCAAACTTTGTTCTACACTTCTCCATAACTTAACAAGGCAAAGAAGAATGAGGGACTCTCTAATTATTATTTTTTTTTATTAGAGACAGAACAGTAAGCTCATTGCTTGAATTAAGTTATGAAAACCAGGATAAAGCTCTCGGTTCCAATCTGAAAAGGACTCGCTGTCACAGATGCGACAAAAGGAATTGTATGGAACATTAAATAAATTGAGGAAATGTGTGGACTTAAAATAAATAACATAACTCTCCTCTCTCTGTTAAAATAGAATTCTTGGGTTTCTGAGACTTCTGTAGGTTAAGGTAACCCGACACAATGACAAAAATAAAGCTGTGATTATTACTTTAACACATCTTTTTAAAAAATCCAACGTAACAAACATATTAAACACACCCAAATATTCAGTAGTATCTAGCTACATAATATTTACATCATGGAGTATAATATCAGCAGGCAACCAACAATAAAAAGAAAATCCTCATGGATTGCAGCAGACATTTTGGATATACATACATTTCTCAACATATTTAGATATATTTTCTCCATTTTTTTGTACAATACTAAAAATTTAGTAGAGAATATACTTCAAGGTTTTTAAAAACGTACGTGACCATCAACTTCTTCCTCTTATCAACATCAAAAAAAGAATTCCATAATATTTCTCTCTCTCTCTTAAGAATAAGAATCATGCCACAGCTCCAAATGGTTGGTACTCCAGAATGGTAGACAGCAGTTTGGTATTCTAGACAGCAGTTTGCACACCTCCAGCCACAGGTGCTACCGGGGAGCTTTGGAAACAGCCTCCTTCTCCTCACTCTTTCGCTTTCCATCCCTACGCTGGTCTGTTCACGTAGGGTCCCAACTCCTAATTTAAGTGCTGAAGACGTTTGGCGGGTTTGTGGGCCAAACCACAGATTTCCCTGTTTCTAGCACCAGATAAAAACTAAAAGCGATATATCCACAGACGGGACACTGCACGGGGAGCCGATTTGGAACTGGATGCCGCCAGTTTTAAACAAAAAACTCTCGTGGGGAGGAGCCCAGACACTTCTGCAGCGCCAGGCACACACAAAAATGCAGAACTTCTCTCTGAAATGACTTTGTACATGCGTAGCATGGCGCTTTTGTGACACTCGTCTTAAATTCAAACAAGCTTTGCACATGCACAGTAGAGTGAAAAGACAGAGGGAGTTGGCCCGTCCACAGACACACACAGCTGCCATGGTGGGTGGGGGGGTCAGAGGCCGGGGTGTGGGCACATTTGGAGACACCCCCGCTATCATCACCTTTGTGGGAGGAGTGTGGGGAGGGCAACTGTCAACCTGTTTTTCAGTGCACATACAGGGATTGTTGCGCAGAGGGGAGAACGACATGCACGTCGTGCATGTGCCCCCCCGCCCCTCCTTCACACAAGGCCGGGGCTCCGTCTCCCAAGGGGCAGCCTTCCCATCCTGTTTCCCTCTGGCCAGCCTGAAAGATCCTTCACAGACCAACCAGCAACGACCCTGAAAGTCCCTTCCCGCAGTGGGAAACCATCGCAGGCAGTGAATGCGTTAAAACAGATAGAAATGTTAACATGCTCTTCGTTATTATTATTGCAACGTGCTTTCAAAACGACCCCTGGGGTCTTGCAGCTTTGTGCTTTTAGGTACATGACGGAAACGGCGTGCTTTCTCAGATGGTCTCGGATCCCTGACGCAGAAATACTGCAGATCAGTAACCTTCCTAAATAACAATTTAATTTTTCCCCGGGGGGGGGGGGGGGTGGG